CATGAACCCTTGATAATTTATAAATTATTATTTTGATCCCTTTTTAAACCCACCCAGCTCACCCTTACTGCTGCTTTGCTCACCGTGACCTGCTAATCTGCTCTCCTCCTCCTCCTCCTCTGCGCCTCAGCCCCAGGCAGAATCTCTTTTTTCCTTGCCGTTCTGACTCCCACACTCTGCTCCTCTCGGCCATTGCCGTACACGGCCCCTCCTCGGCTGCAGCACACCCCCTCCATCTGTCGGCCTCATTTCTGAGTCTCAGCTTAGGCCTGGTGAGGCAGCAGCACCCCTGCTGGGCTGTGTCGTGAAGCACCTGCACTGGTCTCCCTCTCCTTTTTGAAGTGTAACTGCTCAATTTTAAGTTATTACCGGTCAGCAAGGAGACATAGTGGCCACGGTGATACGCTGCTTATGGGACTTCTCTACCACCACTTGCCAGTTGGCTATCTGTGGTGTGACTTGCATGTTGGTAGTGCCACGTATGCCACCGGCATTTCTGCTACCAGCAGGGTTGCCCATGGTGGACAAGCTCCCGTAGAGAGAGAAAGACAGATAGAAGGAAAGGCCTGGTCGTCTCGTTCCAAAAGTAGTTGTTGTTAGGCGCCATTGCGAGCCTTCCGTGCAACAGAACGAAGCACCGCTAGGTCCTGCGCCCTCCTCACAATGATTATGTTCGAGCCCCTGTGGCAGCCCTGTTTCCATCCATCTTGGTGAGGGTCGTCCTCTGCTTTGCCAAGCATGACGCCCTTTTCAAGGGACCGGCCTCTCCTCACGACGCGTCCAAAGCACGTGAGACGAAGTCTCACCATGGTTGCTTTTAGAGAGCTTCTTCCAAGACGGATTTCTTGATTCTCTTGGCAGCCCATGGAACTTTCCATATCAGTTGCCGTTACCAGAATTCAAATGCATGCTTTCTTCTTTGGGCTCCCTTCTCCAGTGTCCAACTTTCACTTGCATGTGAGGTGATGGGAAATACCATGGCTTGGGTTCCAGTGGCTTGAGTTAGTCCTCAAAGTAACATCCTTGCTTTTCAAGACTTTAGAGAGGTCTCGTGCAGCCGATTTATCCAATGCACGTGCCCCTGCTCTCTTGACTACGGTTCCCATGAGCCCTGATTAGGGAGCCCAGCAAGGTGAGATCCTTGGCACCATTAGCCTTTTCTCCATTCATCCTGATATTTCCTCTTGGTCCAGTTGTGAGGATTTTTGTTTTCTTTATATTGTTGTAATTCATACTGACGGCTGTCATCCTTGATCATCATCCACAAGTATTTCAACTCTCTCAGTAAGCCAGGTTGTGCCATGTGCATGTAGAAGGCTGTTAACAAGTCTTCCTCCAATCCCGATACCACCCTTTTCTCCACATCAGCCAGCTTCTCTGGTGAGGTGCTCAGCAGACAGATGGATGAGCATGGTGGAAAGGATGCAGCCCGGACACCCCCGTTTCCCGATTGTAAAGCATGCAGGATCCCCCTGGTTTTCTTAACACCATTGCCTCTTGATTCGTGGACAGGTTCCACATGAACACAGTGAAGTGTTCTGGAATTCCCATTCTTCTCCAGGCTCTCCAGAAACCAGCCAGGGAAAACCCATGGATCATGACCGAATGTGGACTGATGTGGGTACTGCCAGTTGCACTCCCTGGGTTGGAATAGGCACAGCGGCGCACTCACACATATCTATGAATGATTGTGACGGCACAGAACCAGGCCACATTTCATTCTGTTCCACACAAGGTCCACTTGAGTTTGAACCAGAATCATGACGACTCACGATAACAACAAGAATTAGTAAACAGTTGTCCTCCAACAACCATGCCATGGTTTTGTGATTCAACGCACCCCTTAACTTGGATCAGTTCCTCCCTGCTCTTCCTCCCTCCCTCTTCAACAAATAGGTACTGAGCGCTCACGAAGTACAACGTGGTAGGTGGTGGGGAAACACAGCCTCTCCTCACGGCACTTAGTGCTCAGGGGAAGCAGCCATTGTGCGTGGATTGTCCTTCACACGGTGATACGTCCATGAAGTTGTAGGCCGGAGATGCCAGAGAAAACAGCTTGTTGCCAGGATTGCTTAAAAAGGGAGAGGGCCCCAAAAGGCTCCCTGAGAGAAATGCGTGTGAGCTGAGTGAAGTCTGAGGAGTGAACAGGGTTTTGAACGTGGTGAGAGACTTTGCCAAGGTCGCAGTCATTTCGTTGAATGCCCTTTGAGTTAGCTTGCCTGAGTGGGGCTTGTTGTAGCTCACTGACGTCTGAGGGCGGGAGAGGAAATGGCAGTTGCAAGCACTTAGCCCTCCACCTGCACTCCGGGTCTACCGCGTGCGCTCACCTGGGCTCCCTCAGCCAGCTTTCCCCGCCTCCCGTCTGTGATGGCTAGAGTTACTCCCAGCTCCTTCTCGCTGCAAACCCACTTCAGCTGATGGCTTTCTGCTCTCAGATGGGCAGTGCAAACAGTCCACTCAGCTGTTTGGAGTCAAGCCACATTGTTCCTTATGTGGGTGTCAACTGACTGTTGTCCCCTGGCAGTCAAAATAAGATGCGGGAAATTCCGAAGGGATACAAGGCAGCTGATCAGAAAAAGTCTTTCTTGGACCTGACATGGGTCACAAAGGATGCCAGGACTCTTGAGAAACTGTAGGTCAAGAATGGCCACTGATAGGAACTGATGCCAAGGGCTCAAGTAGACAGAACGTGCTTTGAAAACAATGAGGGCAAAGTATGTCCATATGTGCTTGACACAATGGATGGATGGATGGATTGTGATAAGAGTTGTACAAGTCCCCAAATACAATGATTTTTAGAAAAATTAAAAAGAATGGCCAAGGAATCCTCCTCGCTGCCATCCAGTTGATACCAACTTACAGCAGTCCTGTAGGACAGGGGAGAAACTGCCCCCGTGAGTTTTCAAGACTGTAACGGTTAATGGGAGTAGAAAACCCCGTCTTAAAGCAGGTGCACAAGCAAATGTGGTGACGAAAGCTGTGGTGCCCGATTATCAAAAGATATAGCATCTGGGGTCTTAAAGGCTTGAAGGTAAACAGCGGCCATGTTAGCTGAGAAGCAACAAAGCCCACGTGGAAGAAGCACAGCAGCCTGTGTGATCACCAGGTGTCAATAGGATCAGGTATCAGGCATCAAAGACCCAGAAAAAAAAATCATATCATTGCGAATCAAGAGGAGTGCAGAATGGAGACCCTGTAGGCAGCTGGACATCCCTTACAGAAGGGTCACAGGGAGTTGATGAACCAGTCAGGGTGCAGTGTAGCACCGATGAAACATAAAACTTTCCTCTAGTTCTTTTAATGCTTCTCCCCGCCCCCCCATCCCCGCCCCACCACTATCATGACCCCAATTCTACCTCACAAATCTGGCTAGAACAGAGCAGGTACATGGGTACAGATAAGAGCTGGAAATACAGGGAATCCAGGACAGATGAACCCCTCAGGACCAATATTGAGAATAGCCATACCAGGAGGGGAAGGGGAAGGCAGAGGTAGATAGGGGGAACCCGTCACAATGATCTACCTATTACCCCATCCCAGGGGGATGGGCTGGACAACAGAAAAGTGGGTGAAGGGAGACATTGGTCAGGGTAAGACATGAAATTTTTAAAAATAAATTATCCAGGGTTCATGAGGGAGGGAGGGAGGGGAAACAATGAGAAGCTGATACCAAGGGCTCCAGTAGAAAGCAAATGTTTTGAGAATGATGATGGCAACAAATGTACAAATGTCCTTGACACAATGGATGGATGGATGGATTGTGATAAGAGTTTTTTGAGCCCCCAATAAAATGATGAAACGAAAAAGAAGACCCCATCTTTCTCCCATGGAGTGGCTGATAGTTTTGAACTGCTGACCTTGTGGATCGCAGCCCAACGTATAACCACTACACCATCAGGCCCAGTAAGTAGCTTGTGTACATACATTTAGCCTCCGACAAGTTGTAGCCCATCCTTAGCATCCTTTTCTGGGAGCAGTGGTGTTCCCAGGGAAAATGGGTGCTAACTGGATCCCCGCCCTTTTCGCCGGTGACTTTGGGTGACTGTTCGGCCAGGTAGACTAGAGAACGAAATCCAGAGTCACTCATATATGTATAACGAAGAACTTTATATCGAAGAGTAATTGTTTATTAAAAAAATGTCCCAGCCCCATCCAGATCAAGCCTGTAAATCAGGTGTTAACTCCTAAGTCTGATACTAGTCCATAAATAACCTCTTCAGACTCACACAGCACAATCAATGTTGCAAAATGCAGGACGATCACAGGCCAGGGGGTGCCAAGTCTCATAGATCCTGGGGAGGTGGAAGCATCTTCAGAGTTCTCGCGGGTCTCAGCTTGGCTCCATGTGGCTTGTCAAGAGGAAGGTGAAGTGGAGAGAGAGTGGCCCACCTCCAGGGAGCCCTTGATCTCAGCCACCCTCCAATCCAGCTGTGATCTGATGGACAGGCTAAACTGTGCCCGCATGTTCCTCTGGGAGCCATGCTGGCACCAGAAACCTATCCTCGTGGGTAAAGCACTTCATGAACACGGGTTCCCTTAATCCTCATAAACCTGCTAAAGGAAGGCTTGTTGAGTCTTATTCAGAAGAGGGCAAGGTTCAGGTGCGGACTTGTTACAGCTGACATTGAAGCTCCGGTCTCTGCTCTCAGCTGGCCATTGTGAGCATGCACTGGAATGCTGCCTATGGCCTCGTTCCTCCTCACGCCCACCCGCAGGCATTGAAGCTGAGGTACCTCGAGGTAAGTACCTTGCTGAAGTCACGAGTTTGTACTAGAAATCCAGGATTGTTTGTCTCTGAAGTCTAGCCTCTTCATTGATAGTTAACATGCTTGTATTTGCTTCTAGCATCAAGGGATGGTGCTGTACATGCCTCTCCTCTCTTCCAGATTGCCGCTCTACTTGGTGTCCCTCTTCATCAGCCTTGTCTTCCTGCTGGTGAACCTGACCTGCGCCGTGTTGGTGAAGACAGGGACCTGGGAGAGGAAAATCATTGTCTCAGTGCGCGTGGCCATCAACGACACACTGTTCGTGCTGTGTGCCATCTCTCTCTCCCTCTGTCTCTATAAAATCTCCAAGATGTCCCTAGCCAACCTTTACTTGGAGTCTAAGGTAGGGTGGAAATACCGTGATGCTCTTCTTCATTGAAGTTTGCCCTCCGCTTGGCAAGTGGATCCATCTTTCACCCCCGAATGCCTGTGACGGCACAGCTGACTGACGGAGCTTTGCGTGCAAGAAGAGTTCCCATCTGATACCGTGAAGAGTAGGGGAGTTTGCAGAATGACTACGGAGAGCTAGTTCTCTGCCTTTATACACCCCGGTTCAAACTGCTTCTTAAGGACCTAGAGCAGGGGTTCTCAAGCTTCCTAATGCTGCGACCCTTTCATACAGCTCCTCATGTGGTGGTGACCCCCAACCACTGTCATGTTGCTACTGTTAGGAATCGGGTGACACCCCCCGCCCCCCCCTCCCGGTGGAGAACTGCTGGCCCAGAGGAAGTGGTTGCACTAATCTCATCAAGAGCAAACACGTACTAACCATTTTACTACGTCTTCAGACACGTGGCCAACACGTTCCATGTCTAAAACGGATTTGATCTTTATAACCCTGTGGGACTAGGTGACATCATGACACCCACTTACTACTCGCTGCCATCATGGCAGTGCTGACTCACAGCGACCCCCTGTGGGTGTCTGAGACTGTAGCTGTTTGCAGGAGTGGAAAGCCCAGTCTTTCTCCCTTGGAGCTGCTGGTGGTTTTCAACCGGTGACCATGCAGATCGCAGTCCAACACGTGACCACTTCACGGCCAGGGCACCACAGATAGGGACAGTGAGGTGCCCAGAGGCTAAGGAGTCTGCCTTGGTCACACTGCTGGTAGACAGCAGAGCCGGCATGGAGACCAGGCGGGATGGAGACCAGGCAGGGATGGAGACCAGGCGGGATGGAGACCAGGCAGGGATGGAGACCAGCCGGGGATGGAGACCAGGCAGGGATGGAGACCAGGCTGACTCCAGGGCCGCCTGCGGAGACTAGCTGTGCCCAGGACCTAATCTGCAGCTCTCACAGCGTGCTCCTCTGTGTCGGGGTACCTTCACAGATGGGGAGCCACACACCAGGTGGGAGGGCTGCTCTGGCCTCTCAATGGGGTCCCTGCTGTGCACACAACCTTTCTCCAGTGTGGTGAAGAAGGGCAGAGAGGTTGCCCGAAGCTGGCTTCACAGTGTTCCTCATCAGACGGACACCCCAGCTCTCCAAATTCCAAACCCAGACCAGGGCACCATGAGAGTCTGGGACAGTCGGAGGAGTGTGGCAGTCAGGCAGTAGATGGCCTGGGTTCTGATTGGCTGGGTGAGCCCACGTGACTTTGCCATGGTTTTCTTTCTTAGTTTGGCCAGTGGCATACCCCTGTACTTGCTTTGCCCTGTTGCCCATCTGGCTGGAATTGATCTTTGGTCTGAAGATAATGGGGCAGCTCTCTCTCCCATGGTACTGTCTTTGTTAGGGATTCATAGATCAAAATGTATACTTCATACATCAAAATAACAAACTGTCTTCAGATATCCTGTGGTCTGGCTGAGCTCTTGAATAATTCTAACTCATAGCAACTCTATTGAAGGTTTCTGAGACCGCAAATATTTCCAGAAGCAAACAGCCTTATCTTTTTCCTGTGTAGCCACTGGCAGATTTGAACCGCCCACTTTGAGGTTAGCCAGCTAACTCACAGCACTACCAGGGCTCCATATGATTTTAATAGAAGGGGTAGACTTTTTTATAGGTTTTTGGAATATTACCGTATATACTCAAACATAAGCCGATCCGAATATCAGCCGAGGCACCTGATTTTACCACAAAAACTGCATTAAAAGTGTACTGAAAAGCACAGCTTATACACAAGTATATATGGTACTTAGTGTAGTATAGATTTAATTGTAGTTTGTTAAAGAACTATTTAGATTGCTTATATGGCAAACAAGATAATCAGCTGCCATCAGTAAAATAATATCATAGGTCTAGTTAATGATTTCCATAAAAAAAACTCAAACATAATTTTTTGCGTGTTTGTTTTGTGTGACCTCTCTGTTTCTAGCAACTAGTCATTAACTGATTTTGAAAACGAATAACTTCATAAATGGGGGCAAATTTTCTAGATTTCCAAGTAATCCCCAATATATCCAAATCAATCGTCATTGAATAGGTTTGATTCAGGGCAACTCCATGTGTGCAAGAGATGAACTGTGCTTCCGAAGTGGCTCCGGGTTCAGAAGTAGATCATGAGGCCTTGCTTCCAAGGTGCTTCTAGTTGCGTTTGAACCTTTAATCGTTTGTTAGCAGCGGAGCACCTCCAATGGGACTCCTAAGTTCAGGGACTCCTAAGTCACGTCAGTGCTCCTGGGTCCCCAAACTCGAAGACTTGGAGGCATTGCTTGCTGCCTCCACCTACGACCAGCAGCACAGTGGCCTCTGCTAGCTGCATCCCCCTGAGATCCCGTCCTCGCCGCCCTAGAGCCAGTGGCTTGGGCATTGAGCTCGTTTCTTGTGCTTATAAGTTGAGGGTACAGTACTTCTCTGAGCTGAGTAGGGAACAGCTATAGGTTAAAAAAGAAGAAGAATAATTTCAAAAGACACCTGTCTTGCTTGTTCGTACAGATAGGAACGGAAAATCCAGGGAATCCAGGGTGGATGAGCCCTACAGGACCAGTGGTGTGAGTGGCGAAACAGGGAGGGTGGAGGGAGAGTGGGTAGGAAAGAGGGAACCGATTACAAGGGACTATATGTGACCTCCTCCCTGGGGGACGGACAACAGAAAAGTGGGTGAAGGGAGACGTCAGACAGGGCAAGATATGACAAAATAACAATTTATAAACTATCAAGGGCTCATGAGCGGGGAGGGAGGGGGAAAATGAGGACCTAATGCCGGGGGTTTAAGTGGAGAGAAAATGTTTTGAGAATGATGTACAAATGTGCTTTACACAATTGATGTGTGTATGGATTGCGATAACAGTTGTATGAGCCCCTAATAAAATGTCTAAAAAAAACAAACAAACCTGGGTCAGACTGCTGTCTTCCAACCAGGTGCCCAGGTTTTGATGGGTCTCTCTGAAGGTCATGTGAGCTTTTTAAGGGAGGGCTGTAGAATGAGGTGAGGTTTAGAGTGGAGTTAAGGTAGAAGGCTCTGACTGACGATCCATATGGCCGCAGTGACCCTAAGATCCCCAACGGGTGACCAAGTGCGACGGAAGGGCCAGAGGCTGCTTGGGCCCTCAGGAGGCACATCTCTCACGACCCCTCTATTCCAGGGCTCCTCCGTGTGTCAAGTCATTGCCATCGGGGTGACTGTCATCCTGCTGTACACATCTCGAGCCTGCTACAACCTGCTCATCTTAACCTTTTCTCAGAACAAGAATGTCCATTCCTTTGACTACGACTGGTACAACGTATCTGACCAGGTCAGTGGGCTCACCTGGGAGGGTACTTTCCGCCTGGTGACCATTTGAGGTTTAGCTTTCTGTGTTGCTCAGAGATGCCAGCTCCTTGTCTCTGTGCTGATCAGTTGTTGTGTGAACAGAAGAAAGTCACTTGGGGGTGCCCGCATGCTCATCTGTAAAATGGGGGTGATAGTGCCTGCCTTGCCTGTTCTATGTCACATGTTGTCTAGGAAAATGAGGCGAGATGTGTATACACCCCTCCACACACACATACAGTCCCCCCCCAAACCATGTAAATGAATGCTTTTGTGTCCCATAACATGTTTCAGTCCCACTCTATCAAGTGCTTCTTAAAGAGTTCTTCAATGTTTGATGTTGCAAACAGAAATCATCCAGGATCCAGCAAGACAGAGACGTCCACAAGTTCAATACATTTGTAGATACACATGTGGGATGGAAAGGGAGCCTTGTACCACTGAGATGTGTTGAGGATAGAATATGAGAGGCAAAGGTCAGAGTAATCTTATCGAGGAGTATAGACTCAAACATAAGCTGACCCGAATATCAGTCGAGGCACCTAATTTTACCCCAAAAACTGCATTAAAAATGTACTGAAAAACTTGGCTTATACACAAGTATATACAGTACTTAGTATAGTCTAGATTTAATTGTAGTCTGTTAAAGAACTATTTAGATTGTATCATTAGTCTTGGTTAAGCTCAACAAACAAACAAACAAACAAACAAACAAAAACCTAAACCTTCCAACCAGCCGATTTCAACTCATAGTGACCTGATATAGGGCTTTCTGAGGGTAGAGAGCGTCCCTTCTCTCCCATGGAGCAGTTCATGGATTTAAACCGCTGACCCTGTGGTTAGCAGCCCAGGGCCTAACCCACAGAGCCACTAAGGTTACTGCTATGATGGGAGAAGCAAGAGCCATCATTTTGTGTCATTGGACTTTCAGGCTTGGGTTTGGTATATTCTCTTTCTTTAAAATGACGGTCTTGGTGACAATGTTGCCCAGACCCCAGGAACGTTCCATTTCTTGAGGCCCTGCCACTGGCTGTACAAAGGGGACATGGTGCCAGGCCTTTGTAGCGACTTCACCGGTCCAGAATCCATACTTTCAAGGGCAAAGAATTGGATCTGAATGACAAATCCTGTCCTGAGACCACTACTGTGAGGATAAACATCAAGCAGGCAGGCTTCTGTTCTCAAGCCCTGGAATCTTCTAATTTGGCCTCCCCCGGAGCGAGGTAGAGCGCCTGCTTGGTGCTCATGAACCATGTACCACCCCCTTTCCTATGTACATCTTACAAACCACTTCACCAGGGGAGCTCGCACCTCACCCGGGTCAGTTTTTCAAGCTGAGAGGAGAGGGAGCAGACTCTTCAGTTGTCTTACAACATTGCGCTAAGATTACCCCACATGATCCGACACTCCCACGAGAGGACGAAGTGAACCCTACTGTAAAGTCATGTCACGATGGGGGTACGGAGGTGTGTCTGTCTAATAGAAGGGGATGACATTACTATCGGTGGGTTAGCCGGGAGGAGCAACCTCCTATTGGGGAAACACTCTTCACAGTACTTATGCAGAACCCAAGGGAGAATACGCCTGGTACTATGTTCCCAATGGGACACTTTTGACCTAGTTCCTATGCAGCCCTTGGGGCCCAGGCTGTGTGCTACAGACTACTGACTGGGCCTTTGGGCTCTGTCCTTTTGTGCTGCGCAACATCTTTCAGAGGCCATGCTAGAAGGACTTGATGTGGAAATCCCAGTAGGTGAACTGGGCTTTACTTCAAACTCACCTGTAGCAGATTTAAGCAGCCCACATACTCCCTTGGACATAAGGCTGAAATGCCTCGGTGTGAGAAGAAGCATCCTGCTAGCTCAAGGTTATGGAATTGGCACTTTGAACTTTGGTTTGGATCCCTTGCTTTTTTTTGTCTTTTTAATTATTTTATTGGGGGGACTCTTACAAATCTTATAACAACCCATCATTCAAAAGGATTAAGCACTCTTGTACATATGTTGCCATCAACATTTCCCAAACAATTTCTTTCTACTTGAGCCATGGGTATGAGCTTTTCCTCCCCTCCCTCCTCCATCCTCCCACCCTCGTGAATCCTTGATCAATTATATATATATATTTAATTTAATCATTTTATTGGGGGCTTGTACAACTCTTATCACAATCCATGCATCCATCCATTGCGTCAAGCACATTTGTACATTTGTTGCCATCATCATTCTCAAAACATTTGCTTTCTGCTTGAGTCCTTGGTATCAGCTCATTTTTTCCCCCTCCCTCCCCTGCTCCCTCCTCTCTCATGGACCCTTGATAATTAATTACATATTATTTTTGTTATTTCATGTCTTACACTGTTGTCTCTCTTGCTTTAAGGGTTCCCAATGAATTTATTATGCTTTATAATGACATATTAATCTGGCTGGAATGGTTTTCCCTTTATTAATGAGTGTTATTAAAAGTTTTGCCCTATCACCAACACTCATTGTTTGAAGTCACTTAAGAGTTTAATCTGTGCAGGTCAACACTTCACGTATTGCTGTCTGAAGCCATCTTATGCTTGTATTAATTTCCTTTCTCCACAGTGTTTTAAATTCCATACCATTGGTTAAATTAATGACACTGTTAATAGAATTACTTTATGCCCTAGGGGGATGACTGATAATGTTTATCATTAAATGATAATGACGTCTTTAAAGTGATCGGAGAAATATATAAACTGGAGGTACTTAAAAAAAACAAACCCCAGGGGTATATGAATGCATTTTGGACACATACTTAATTCTAGCCCATTTATGAACAGTTAGTCCCTATGATATGGCTTCTGCCCAATGAAGAGATCACTGAAGATATGGGTGCTATAGCATGAAGATATGGGTGCTATAGCAAACTTTGCTGAAGAAACCAGATAGTGCCTGGCTATCAGAAAGAATAGCATCTAGGGTCTTAAAGTCTTGTCTTCAAATAAGTAGCTATGGATGGTGTCAAGTCCACATGGAAGAAGCACACCTGTCTGTATGATCCAAGGATTGTGAATAATAAAATCCAAATCTGAAGGAGGGAATACGAGAGCTTAAATTGTGGACACCCAGTTTTCAGAAGGCTGTGGCTAACAATGGATGCCCAAAAATCCCTTTGCAGGGTCCACATATGGATTAAGCCTCCATAGTTGAGTAATGCAACTATCCTGCCTCCAGACAGCGAGCATTGTAAAATTGATCTTTTTGTTTGTTTGTTTGTTTTTTGTGTGTGAGAGTGAGAGAGTAAGTGAGTGAGTGAGAATCTGTAAAATTGATCTTAACAGATATAGTTATTAGGTTGATCAGATGTAGTATCTTATTATTTGATCTCCCTTTTTACCCGTTTTAAAGTTGTTTCAGTTTTTAATATTTTCTGCATTCTTTTTGATTAAGGCTTTTCTGATTTGAATAGGGATTAATTTGTTTATTTGCTTCCTATTTGTGTTTTGTATGCTGTTCAGTATATGAAATCCAGAATTGGTAGATCTATAGAGACAATAACTGAATCAATAATTACCTAGAGGCATGGCCTGGGAGAGTGGAGGGAAATGAGGAGCTAACAAGAATGAGTACGGGAAGAAAATGTTCTGAAATGGATTATGGTGATAATTGTACAAATCTTCTTAATATGATTGACTGGTTAAATCATATGATATGTGACGTACATGCCAGTAAAAGTCTTTTTCAAAGAATTGGATGTGGGTTATGTGAAGAAAAATTAAAAAATTGACTTGCATACTAAGGGGGTAAAAGGAAGGTGAGGGAAGAAAGGGAGAAGCGATCACAATGATCTTCATATAACCCCTTCGTAGGGGGGTGGGCAACAGAAAAATGGGTGAAGGGAGACTGTGGTCGGTGTAAGACATGGGGGAAAAGTTTTTAAGAATAAGTTATCAAGGGTTCATGAGGGAGGGAGTAAACTAAGGAGCTGATACCAAGGGCTCAAGTAGAAAGAAAATGTTTTGAAAATGATGATGGCAACATATGTACAAATGTGCTTGACACAATGGATATATGGATGGATTGTGATAAGAGCTGTAAGAGCCCCCGATAAAACGATTTAAAAAAAAATAAAGTTGACTTGCTTGGTATGAATCTTTTAAGAATATAGAAGGAACCCTCCCCCCCCCCAAGTCTCACTATTCATAGATGAGTTTAAATATAATTGAGAGATTTCATTTGGACATAAGGAGATCTTTTGAGGTGAAGTGATAAAATGTCAAATTGGAAATGTGCATATTTTGAAGAAGATAATCATCTTTTCTTTGTTGTCTAAATAACCATCCACCTGCAATTCTCATCGGATTTCAACATGCATAATTGAGGGGAGACGAAATTACATTACAGTGGTACTGTTCTCTGTCCACATTACGTAGAATCAACTCGAATGTCTTGTCTCTGCCCTGGGTCTACTGACTCTGCATTTCTCCCTCTGTGAAACAGGCAGATTTGAAGAATCAGCTAGGCGATGCGGGATATGTTGTGTTTGGCGCGGTCCTGTTTGTATGGGAGCTCTTACCTACTACCTTAGTGGTTTATTTCTTCCGAGTCAGAGCTCCTACCAAAGATCCTGTAAGTAAAGCTGTTTGTATTTGTAGAAAACACCTCCTCATTTTAATCATGCAATATACAATGGCACTTAGCCTCTTAACCATCTCTTCTGTTCTGTTCTGATATAAAAAATACCTTGGTCTATTTTATCAAGAAATTAAAAAAAATTATTTCCTCTTACTTGCCTTTGGAGTTAAATGTGTTTTTCCACTTAGCATTATTTTACCGAAGAAATACAAGTTGTATCTTTATCTCCAAGACTCATTTCAAAGAAAGAGAATGCACCAAAACCAAGCCATAAGGGCCAGAGGAAAGAGATGAAGCGTTTTCCTAATGTGACACAACCTCACTTGTATTTGAAAAAAACAAGTTAAAAAACATGGATTGAGTAAGATATAATAAAATAATAATTTATAAATTATCCAGGGTTCATGAGCGAAGGGAGAGTGGGGAGGGAGGGGGAAAAAAAAGAAAAGAAAAATGAGGAGCTGATTCCAGGAGCCCAAGTGGAAAGCGAGTGTTTTGAGAATGATGAGGGCAACAAATGTATAAGTGTGCTTTACACAATTGATGTATGTGTGGATTGTGATAAGAATTGTATGAGCCCCAATAAAATGATGGAAAAAAAAAACAAAACAGGGATCAAAACAAAACAAAAAAACCCCTCCCCCGCCTGGGGGACGAGAGACAGTGGTTGGTGTGAGATATGAAAATAACAACGATTTTTAATTCATCAAGGGGTCACGGGGGTGGGGGTGGGGGAAGGGAGGGTAAAAAGGAGCTGCTATCAAGGGCTCAAATAGAAAGTAAGTGTTTAGAAAATAATGATGGCAACATATGTACGGATATACATGATACAACTGATGTGTGGATTGTTATAAGAGCTGTAAGAGCCCCCAAGAAAGTGATCTTTTAATAATAAAAACGGGAAAAAAACATGGTTAAAAAATACAACTCCAAGCTGAGATTTTCAAGTGTGGGTGGTAAGTAAACCATCGATAAATGAAATCCACAAAAATGAATGTAAACTAGACAACAGTGCTCCCAGGGCTCCCGCTCATCAATGCACAGACAGGCAAGTCTAGGCAGAACAGGGCTCCCAAGGAGGAGCTGCTGGCCACTTAAATTCCAGGCACAGAGGTTAGTTTAGAAGGTTGTGGCCACTTTTGCTAGGGACTCCAGAGGGGTCATCTTGATGGTTTATCTTGAGGGACACCAGGCAAAACTTAGTAGGAAGAAAGTTTAAGAGATGGAAAATTGCATTGGTGAGGAAAAAAGACCAGGAGAGTTGTGCCAAGGAATTTTTAATTTTTTTTCCAACACGATAATGCACCCGCTCATTCTTTGAGGGTCGCAAAGACTCTCGTAGGAAAGCTTCATTGGAAGACCATACGCCATCAGTCTTAGAGCCCTGATCCTGCCCACTGGAAGACCATATGCCATCAGTCTTAGAGCCCTGATCCTGCCCACTGGAAGACCGTATGCCATCAGTCTTAGAGCCCTGATCCGGCCCACTGGAAGACCATACGCCATCAGTGTTAGAGCCTTGATCTTATCCATTGGAAGACCATATGCCATCAGTCTTAGAGCCCTGATCCTGCCCATTGGACGACCATAGCCATCAGTCTTAGAGCCCTGATCCTGCCCACTGGAAGACCATACGCCATCAGTGTTAGAGCCCTGATCTTACCCATTGGAAGACCATACGCCATCTGTCTTAGAGCCCTGGTCCTGCCCATTGGAAGACCATACCCCATCAATCTTAGAGCCCTGATCCTGCCCACTGGAAGACCATACGCCATCAGTGTTAGAGCCTTGATCTTATCCATTGGAAGACCATATGCCATCAATCTTAGAGCCCTGATCCTGCCTATTGGACGACCATACGCCATCAGTCTTAGAGCCCTGATCCTGCCCATCGGAAGACCATACGCCATCAGTCTTAGAGCCCCGATCCTGTCCACTGGAAGACCATACCCCATCAATCTTAGAGCCCTGATCTTGCTCCTTCACATTTCTTTTTGTTTCCCAAACTTGATGCACGTTGAATGGGAATACAGCTTGAGTTCACTGTCGTTTTGTTTTTCCCTAAATTGAAGAGGGCAGACAGAAGTCTTTGAATAAGTGTTAGACAGAGACTCTGCCTTCAGAAGTATGTAGATGTTTATAGATTTTATTTTTTGTGTAGTAAAAGTTTCTCTGCTACTGTACTCTTGTACCTGTCTTCATCACTCACAGTTCTTACAGCTGGTTATAAAGCTGGTTGTCTTGCTGTGCTTACTGCTTGTTGACGCATGGGAGTGAAGAACACCGTCATTGGTGACAGAGTTGGCACCATGACTTTGACTTATGCTAAGGCCACATTACAGTTGTTTTTTTACTCAGTGTAATATGTCATTTGGTTTCCTTGTGTCGTTGTGGGTTTATTTGTGAGTTTTCATGTTTTCCCATTGTGTATTTTTAAAAAGCCTCTTATTGTGAATGACGTGGTTTACATATGAGATCATCATTTTTATATTCAGCGGTGGAAGCAGTTTGTCACACCTCACGATGGCTCGCCCTGTGGTTGGCTGCTGTCGAGTCGGCTCTGGTTCACACTGACCCTCTGCACCACAGAGCAAAACACGGCCCTGTCCTGCACCAGCCTCACAGTGTTGTCAGGTTTAAGCCTGTTGTCGCAGCCACTGTGTCAGTCACATGACAGTTTTTCTCGCCACTGCATTTGGACTACTAGTAAAATACCCAGACGGTCCAAAGGGCAGATCATATCTTAGTGTAGCCATGGAGTATAGTTAGTTACTTAGTATACTATATTTTAGTGAAGTAGGTATAGCCCTGCTGATTCCTGAGAGGGTGGTAGGGGTATTCCAGAGGTCTGTGGACCTCGTTTAAGAACTACTGGTCTATAGTAGTATTAAAGTGCATTAAAATGATTCTCTGCCCGCAAGCCCATGCTCTCTGAATCGACCACCATGGAATTAACTCAGTGTGAAATACTCATAGGTATAAATAGAAAAACATTTCCCTTTTAAAAAAATGTTGCATGCATGAAGCAGTGTCTCAACTTTCATTAGCACAGGCGGACTTAGCTTGGGGAACAGTTGATTATAGAGGCAGGGTGTGAAAACGAGATGAGAAACTCACACAAAGTGATTTCATAGTTATTTTTCCCCCTAATTTGTTCTAAGTGTCTATGCTGTTGTATGAGCCTTGTAACCACTGTGGAGTGATCCCTACCTTAGGGTGCCCGCTTTGGGCATTGCCTGGCTTTCCTATGAGGATTTGGGATTAAAATGGTGATGCACTGTTGCCCATTTAGCAAGCAAAACTCTTGATATTTTATCCATGCTGATAAATATTAGCCCCTTCAAACAGTAAAGCAGTGGAAGTGAACACTTGAGGTACACTATTACAGCCAGGTGTCACCTCCCTCCAGATCACTAGATCATCGACGGTAAGCCTTCTGCAAGGGGCCCGGGCATACTGTTATCTATGTGAAGTAAAATGTGTGCAAGTATGCTGAGCACGCAATTGTCCTCCTAGATGAACCCTGGGATGGTCCCCAGCCACGGATTCAGTCCCAGATCGTATTTCTTTGACAACCCTCGGAGATATGACAGCGACGACGATCTTTCCTGGAACACTGCTCCTCAGGGACTTCAGGGAAGGTAAGACCACGGCTCTGTTTAGAGGCCTGGTTAGACACCAGGAGAGTGAGTTCAAATGAAAATTCCTATAAAAAAGCCCCAAAGCCATAGAGCTGAAAATGTGTGGTATGGGAGCATTTTATAGTCATGCAATACTCAGGAACGAGAGAAGCTGACATCAAGGAAATACAGGTACCACAGATGCTTATGTGTGGCAGGGATTCATAAACTGTGCTCCACGGAAAACAAGTTCTTTAATAGGTATGCTATGTAAAAGGAAGAGATGATTTTTACAATATTCAACATAGTCTCAGAGCCTGTGCTAAATGTACTCTGGCTATCCAAGAAGGAACTAGAGTACTCCTGCTTGAAGTCCTTCTGTAGGACATGATTTGGGAATTGCTGGCATACTTCTTTAATCATAGGTTCTAAAGCCAGAGCTTACATGGTATATTATTCACTAATTAAGATAAATTGGGTTAAAGATACTTATGTTGGTCTTTAAACCGAAGTACATATTTATCTAACTAACACTGTTCTGTGTCAGACTTAAATCTAAGTCTGACAGCGCCACTGAATCTTGTCCACCAGAGGTGATGCTCTGGATTTTTATAATACTGGTGCTGCAGCTCCTACCACCCCAGGAACACATAAGCCACCACAATATGACAAGCTGACAGACGGGTGGGGACTGAGGCAGAATAGGAAGAAAGGCCTGGTGATCCACTTCTAAAAATTAGCCAGTAAAAATCGTACAGGTTATAACCTACCTAATAGAGTGCTGGAAGATGAGCCCCCTTGGTTGGAGGATATTTCAATAAAGTACAGCAGCCAAAAAAATGTATTCAGTCCTATCAAGAGTCATGAAGATGGCACAGGTCTGGACAGTATTGATGTGTAGTGCATTGTTTTACCCTCCTCGTGTTCCCTGACTGTCCTTTGTGCCTTTTACTCAGACTCTGCTAGAGGAGCCGTAGCCTCTTATCTGCCAGCAGTGCCTTAGAGCTGCGGGGGTCTTTACTACCGTTGTGGCTATACCCTTTTCCTGGTGTGTTAGGCTGGGTTCTCTGGAGAAGCAACACCAGTGATGCTTATGTAGTTATAAATAAAGAGAAGTTCATATCAAGAAACATGGCTCACACAGTTGTAGGAGCGGGTAAGTCTAGTCTGGTTCAAGTCTATAGGTCAGATGCTACGCTGGCGCCTCTTTCTGAACTGTGCGTTTGCGAGAGCCAATGGACCAGGAAGCAGGAAGATGACGCAGGAGATCCACGGGCTAGTGGGTGTCAGCAGATCAGGCCTGTGGCTGGCAGAGGCGAACAAATCTAAGGTGTACAAGTTCTAATGGTGCCGAGGGTCAGCAGACAATGTGGCAGGTTCTGATAGTGCCCAGGGCCAGCAGGCAATGTGGCAGGTTGTTGATAGCACTCCGGGTCTATACGTAGTATGGTGGGCTTTTGGTTCCAGAACCAGAAATCTATGTGTTCGTCTGGGTACTTTAGGGAAACAAATCCACAGAAACTCACACGTCTGAGAGAGAATTTTATATAAAGGTTAAGTGCACATCAAGAAAACATCCCAACCCAATGCTGCCCAAGCCCACAAGTCCAACATTAACCCATTAGCCCATATGTCTGACACCAATCCACAAAGTCCTCCTCCATCTCACAAAACAGACGCAATGATGCCGACTGCAGGAGGAAAGCCGAGTCAGTGAGTGTGTAAACATCTCAGTGCTGGCAGGGGTCTCCACACGTCTGCTCCAGTACCCAGGGCTGCATCGGGGTAGATCCACGTGGCTTCTCCTTGGGGATGTCTTGCAGGAAGTGAGCTTTGCCAGCTAAAGCAGGGAACTGGCCAAGGCAGCTGCACCCTGGTCCGACCATCAGAAAGCAAGAGACCCGAGAACTAGAAAGGTGAGGCTCACTGAGCCATGTATCCCTCCGCCCTTCAATTAACCCCACGTGTTTATCGGCCAGGTTGGCACAATAAACTAACTACCTCACTATGCAACAAATGTGGGATCCAGGCTACCAAGAAGAAGTGAAGTTCTCTATGGCATCTACTTAAATATCAAGTAGGCCCGTCCCTAAGGAGATAACCTAATCAGGGCCATACCCTAAATAACTGCTTGACGCCCTGCAGATCCCATCAAGCACTTGATTATATTATTTTCAATCACATCACAGAGGAGGCCTCAACTGTCAAACCACTGAGCATCCTGGTCCAGCCAAGTTGACATCAAACCCAGTCTGTGGGAACCTGAAATTAAAAGAGAGTGAGATATCCCACATACTTTTTGATGTCTTCCCCTTTGCACTTTATACGTTTTAACCCACTTACCGTATCTACTCAGGTATCAGCCGACCCAAATATCAGCCGAGGCACCTAATTTTCCCACAAAAGCTGCCTTAAAATTGTGCTGGAAAACTTGGCTTATACACGAGTATATACGGTAATTCTCAAAGTAGCCCGAGAAGGCAGTTACTAATATTAACCCCATTATACACGTGAGTAAATCGAGGCACATAAGTTATTTTCCCCCCAAAGACAAAACTCATTGCCATTGAGTTGATTCTGACTTAAGTAGGGTTTCTGAGGCTGTAACTCTTTATGGGAACAGACAGCCTCACCCTTCTTCCTCATAGTGACTGATGGGCTTGAACCACTGACCTTTAGGTTAGCAACCCTTTTCTCACAAGGTCACCAGGGTTTCTACTTTTTCCCAACACACAGATGTGCTTCAAGGAGTTAAAAAAATTTGCTATTATACATAGTGATTGGTTGATGGCTCTACTACTACTGTACTTCTGGGTAATGTATAGTTCAATAGACTTCTTGTGGGCAGGCTTTTTTTAAAAAAAACATTTTATTAGGGGCTCATACAACTGTTATTGCAATCCATACACACATCAATTGTGTAAAGC